GCGTCAACAAATATTGCCATGTCTCATTACTTTGAAATTTCTCTATAATCGATAGGAATGTGCTTGGTTGGCTCACTGAAACGTCTCTTGAATAAATTTCTATCATCAACCCCATAGAGTAGTCAAGCAATTACAAATTATGATTGTGATCGAAATTAGCCGAGTCGAACGTAAGCGCACTGATCTTTTAAATTCCAAACAGACCCGGTAAAACCTGTCGTAAACCTCAGAGTAATGTAACTTTTACAGCTAAACCTTAAATGTTCTTTTCTTACCTTGTTTTCACTGAACCCGGTTATGTAGCGCTGACTAGGAGGTTGAAAATACGACGAAGACTTCTTGTAAATACATCGCAGTCCGAAGAACACGGTTCTGATTGATGGAACCATCAGAGCGTATAAATCTCTTTTGATTTTATTACTGCTGAGGTTAAATAGGCGATAACTCCAAATTGTTTTTTCCTCTCCGGGCAACTCATCTCCCAACTCGCCTTTAAATGGTCTCCTGAACCTAAAAATGAACTGAGGCGTCTTCCATCATGCTTACGGTCCAAAACTATATTTAAATTTCATTCAAGGTCGTATTGAGTCTTTCGTCGTATTTGTAGTATATTTTCCCACGATTTCGAAAAGGGTCTTGATTACTTCCACTGGCCATCTGGCGATAGTGTCGCAAACTCTCAGAATGCCTTTTTACCCAAAAGAACGCCGACTCTTCCAAACATTGATATAAATTGGTCTGTAATGATGCATGTGACGTTTTTCTGTTATTTTGCGGCAGATAGTTTACTAATAGTGCATAGAAACCTTGATCCCTAAGGTTTTTTCAAACTAAAACCGGTTACCCCTCAACAGTTTGCACTCATAGTTAAGAATATCGAATATTTGGTTAAAACGATATTGCATAGAGTTGACTTTTCTTCTCCTTTACTCTATACGAAAGTACATTGATTGCATTCCAACGTCAGCCAAAAATGACTTAACGTCCAATTTGCTGTGCTTTGTTGAGATTGAAAACAGGTTTGTTTGTGCCAATGAACCACGCAGGGGACTACAAAAAGGGGTATGCGATTGGTCTGGTGTAGGATGAGCCCCTCCCTATATTTCTAATACACCTCTGCCCCCCCCCCTTTTTTTTTTTCTAAGATAGCCACACAATACGGAACCAAAACTGAACGAGTAGTCTTGCATTTGTTAATTACAAGTTTATGATGATCGACATTTACATAAAGCACATGTGAAACACTTTTGTGTCTACTTATCGGTTTTAATGCTGGGCCACTTTTCTTAGAAATCAGCCTTCCATTTGCCCATCTTCAATCTGTAGTTTCTGATTTAAGAGAGAAGCACACTAACAAAAAATACCAGATTTATGTTTACTTTTAAGGCTATTGGAAAGTCTATTCGACTCTCCGCCAGGGTTTCGTGCAAGCACTCTCAGTTCAACTGATCATTCCTACTAAAACATTTTTCTCACCAAACGCTGAAAGTTTACATGTTTAAAAAAATATGCAATCACAAATTGTCGCAGCATTGAGCAACCAATGTTTCAGCGCATGAATCAAGGGGCATTTAGAGGCAATACTGACAGGGTACAATTCACTTGCTTTTCAACCAAGCAACCAGTCCTCTTCAATGGGCTTCATCCAATGAATTTGTTTTTTGCTTCATCTCAGTCGACAGTCGGCCTACTTTTAGTATAATGGCTGAAAGCCATTTCTGTGTCGTTGTTATGAACCAAAATTCACTCCTAGCAAAAAAATATCATACTTTAAACATTTGTGGAAATTTTGAAAGGGGTAACAAGTTTTGAACCTTCGCATCATTAAAAAGAAAGATCAGTCGAAGGTAACAGAACGTAAAGGTTTGCCAAAAGTTAAACGAGAAATAACTCCACACTGTCCTCGAGTTTTCATTTCTGTAGAAAAAACATCATTGATTGTCCCCTGAAGTTTGGCTCTCTAAAGAATATCTTCTGCAGTTTTGAACTTGAGAGCTAATAATGAACAACATAAAATGATAACCTCAATCACAGACATCATTCCCCATGATCTTGGCTATATTTTGGGGCAAGGTCGCAAATTGGTAAGTTTAGACATTCGAAATTGTGTCAACGTAAAATTAAATTGATTAAGTTCAGAGTAAGCAGTAAAAATGTTCAACAAATGCAATATAAAGATGTCAGAATAAACAAAAATGTAAGAAATTTCAATAGTTATAATGTCTCCTCGTTTACAGGGAGTTACATTTCTATCTCATATTTACCGAAGCATGCAAACTCAATGTATCTACAGTTGACTAAACCACCAAATGCTCTCAGTGCTCCATCACATAATGTTGGCGTCACGTGGAAAGGTAATTATACAGACCCAAAGTAATATCTTGCAATTCAAATGTAAGGAAAACAGTCAAGGCTTTAGCTAAAAAAGATTTAAACATTTCATTTTGTTTCCTATCCAGAAATTTTCCGTTTGCTTTTCAAAACTGTCAAATTGAACGAAAGACAGAAATAAAAGAACTGCTTTTTCGGGGTCATAAAGAGACTTCCTCTCTCCAGAAACAAGCCCCTGTTCTCTCAAGAACATGGGACTCGAGCACTTCTTCCTAACCTCTTTGAAAAGAGTCAGGTGTAGATTGGAACTCTGCATGTCCATGCATTTGTACCAATAGCTATGTTTCTGAAAAGTCTCCCTATTGTGTGACGACTATTATGTCCTCCACGACGATGCAAAAAAAAAAAGTAATTTATGATTTAGTACAGCAACTGTCATATCTGATTCCTACGACAGTCATTCTTGTAACATCCTTTTTAATTATCTCCGAGCTTATACAATATTTGAGGGCCTTTAAAGTAAGCTCACTTCTAGGGAGTAATTTTTCCACTCTAAGACTTGAGTGAGTGAAAAAATCAATCAACCTTTTTAATCTGGCCAAATTAAAGAAATCTGTAATTAAAAAAAAAAAAGAATTTCTTGTGACTAGAAAATAGGGGAAAAAATTGAGAATTCCTTCTCAGTTCTTCACATAGTTAATCACAGCTCTGCACATTTTGGAGTACTGGGTGAGAAGAATTTGATGAAAAATCTTGCTCCATTCTCGATTTGTTCTAACTATTGTGCAAATGTGATCTAATTGAGGGAGCATGTAGACTAAGGGGGTAAGAACGTAGGTGTACTTACAAATGAGAACGCCTATCAAGGAATACCTCTTAAGGGGGGGAGGTTACAATTAGGATTTTACATCCTTTTTTTTTTTAACAATTTAAATGTGACCCTTGAATAGTACCTCAATAAAACTAAAGTAAGAAATTACAGCGTACACCAAAAAGCTAATAATATACAATAATCACATTATTAGAAAGAAATCCACTTATTTTTCATGCAACTAGAGTTATGACTGATAGGATGGGGTGACTGGGGACATGTAACACCTTGCCCAACTCCACCCCTCTTGGTCCCATCCTATCATTGCCTTATCTAGGATTTTGAGATCTTCATTCAGTTCCTCAGCACTCCCTGGTAAACAGCCCTGTTGCAATGCAAAGGTGTCCAGTTACAGGGTAGTGGAAATCTCTATACCTGAAGAACTCTGATAATTGTTTGCATCTCCAAGAGGCTGCAACTTGTTTACATTCCCTCCCAAACCAAGGCAGTTTTTCGCTGCTCTGAATCCAATACACACCACAATTAATAGATTCCAATGCATATAAGACCTTTTCATGTATTCCGTCATTTTCTTGATGCAAGTTAAATAAGAGTACTAAGCTTGTTCTGTGCCAATACTCCAATTCATTTCATTTTCATCAGTAAGCATTGCAACCAGTCACTCGCTATAGACCAGCAACTGAACAAACCCAGCCAGCAAAATCCACCTTTTTTGACTCAGATATCTTGATGAAGACATGATCCTGGAAGAATAAGACAGAGTAAAAGAGCAGTGGTCTTTAAGGCTTTTTCAACTAGATGATTTTGCTTTGAGGCAACCCTCTTTTATTCTGGAAATCAGTCCCATCTTAAAACCAATGTAGACTCCACTCAACATGAACAAAATAACACATCACTCAACCACCAAATATCTCACCAGCACCAGAGTCAAAAAGAAAGCTACCTTTGTCCAACTTACAGCTAATCTCATAAACAATACTGGTAAAAAGTATAACACATAAATTTCTGGATGGGGCTATTAGTGACACTTTTGGTTTTCCACCTTTTTAAAAATAAAGTAGCCTTAACCCTTTAATCTCTAAGAGTGACTAGCATCCAGTTTCACTCCACTGAATCACTCTTGAGGCAAACAGTAAGGTCATGATGATAAAAGAAATAATAACCAACTTGAGAGGTTCTTGATTGTTAAATAAATTTTCTCAGTACTATAGGAAATGTATACTGATTTTGGGGCATAAAGGGTTAAATCCTTCAGTTTCAAATTTGGGCAAAGTAACTGGTTAGATGAAAGACCCAGCAGAGTTTTCAAATGTAGAGGGGAAGTTTATGTTTCTAGGTTGTTCCCTTCTTTGGCAAAATGTTCTACAGTAAAATTGTGTAGCCACAAATCTGCCTTATAAGCCCAATCTCTGGATAGGATGCTCACCCATCACCTGTTACCCCTCATACAGGCCATGAATTATTCACTTTTCTGTTTGGAACTCAATGCTGCCTTTACATGCCATACTGAAGGTGAGGTTTGCTGCCATTTCAAAAGGTAAAATCATGATGCTATTGTAAAATTCCTAAGAAAAGTTCCAAGTTTATTTTAAAATAAATGTTTTCCATAGCATACAGAACTTACCATTAACACTTTGAGGTTAGCTCTTTCTGAAGGATTCTTAACAAGACTGAAACAGATTGAAATAGATTACTGTGAGATTTAGCTGTTTTCTAGAATGTCCTGATCTCCAGTGCATCTGGATATACCACAACTTACTCCCCTAAACATTTATGTCCAAGTTTGACAATAACTATCATTCATAACTATCATATGGAAGAGTGTGGGAAACATTGCCTACCATTTGTTGACAAACTCACAAAACTCTTCTGAAAATTGCTCTGGTGGTAGCTGGGGAGGAGGCTATCCAGTAAAGAACAAAAATGTATAACTTCAGTGACAATAATATACCATTCTTCTAATATATCATAGTTTCTACAAAGATTTTCCCAGCAGTAAAGGAGATGATTACACAATGCAGCAATCCTGAACTTGCGGCAAACTTTACATCAACACAGAAATGCACCCTTCTCCAAAGATATTATTAGGAGATCAAACTGATCAACCAATATGTTACTCAAACATTTGGTTAGTCAGAACAATGGAGGGAAGAAAAGCAATTCAACTTGCTTACTCTGTTTACACAAATTTTATGCAAATAAAAAGAGTACAAACTAACTTGCAAGATAAATTCCTTAAAAATTGATTCACACGACTTTCATCAGTTTACTATTAAGACTTTTGGCATCACCTCATTCACAATATAGTCCAGTAATTCAAATATCGCCATTGGCCTTGCATCATTGCTCACACCACTAGGTGGCCTTGTTCCTGGAGGTATTCTCTTTAGATGTGATGGACTTGTGCTTTTTTGGTTTTCTTCAGGTGGTGGAATTGGATACCTTCCAATTGCCATCTCAATCAATGATAATCCAAAACTCCAAATGTCAGATTGAACTGTGTAGTTAGCTCCTTGAAGTCTTTCAGGCTGAGAATTTAAAATGTCAAAGATTAATTGCAAATAAGGTGAATCTTCTGTATCTTAAGTTCTCTTTTCATGGCTTATTCTTACTTTTCAGAGTTCATGTACTTGGACAAAATAATCTCTAAGGTTTATTTGATTAAAAGGAAATTTTCTAGGTTACAGAACTTACTCAAACTATGAATGACATACATGTACCATGTATCTCCTTTTAAGTATCAGAAACATCTTTAAGCCTTCCTTATCATGCATTTTCCACCTCAGTTTAACTTGTCTATGGATTGTTTTCTTGTTTTCTTAGCTTCCATGTTGGATTTTAACTGTTACATTTTAACCCTTTCACTCCCAAAATCTCACTGTCAATTCACCTAACAGTGTGCTATACACTTATCATAATTCTAGCTATGAGAATTTAGCCTTGAATCAAACAATATCCCCAGATGATATTTTCTCTCTCCTTGTCACCTCTTTGGTTGAAATGCTATTGATATGGTAAGGAGAAATTACTCATTGGTCATTCCAAGGAGGTATAAAGGTTAGAAACATGTAATTTCTTTTAGTACATAATACCAAAACTACCATTCACTTACTTAACTTATCAACATATTCTCCTTACCAACATGTAAGATCGTGTGCCAACAAAAGAATTTGCCATTGAGTCAATTAACTGTCCACTGACTCCAAAGTCACAGAGCTTGATTTCACTGCGGCAGTTTACTAAAATATTTGAGGGCTTCACATCTGATTAACAAAAAGGAACACTTGTTGTGATGATCACACTACTTTGAGCAAGTTTATGAAGTTGGAGTATTCCACAATTTTACCGGATTACACTATTGAATTTGACAAGACATGCCTAAATTTGTTAGGAGGCAAGAATATGGTTCCACTATGATAGGTAAATCACATTAGGTAAATAATGTTAAAAATTGGGCTTCATACATTCCAATGATTTCAGCTTTTAGAGGCAGCAATCGCACATGTTCAGAAGTTTCAATAAGAGCTGGTAATCATGAAATTTGCCATCTACTTTACTGTTTTTTTCCCTCTACTTCACAACTCACTGACAACCATAAATGTTACAGTTAGTAAGAGATTGAGATGTGGACAGAGAGAGCTCACAGGTATGCAAAACTATCTAGTTGCCCTTGCAAAATGGATTTTTGTGAATTTTCACGGTAAATTCAGACTGACGATCTTACATGTTGGTAAGGAGAATATGTTGATAAGTTAAGTAAGTGAATGGTAGTTTTGGTATTATGTACTAAAAGAAATTACATGTTTCTAACCTTTATACCTCCTTGGAATGACCAATGAGTAATTTCTCCTTACCATATCAATAGCATTTCAACCAAAGAGGTGACAAGGAGAGAGAAAATATCATAACAACTCTGGTTCTAAAAACCTAGAAATTCCCAGAAATTCCAAGTCTATAGCCACTCAGAGCACCAGTGACTTTCCCTGAAAAGCTGTAAATTTAAAAAATTCCTAGGAATTTCTAGGAATGTTTAAGAATTACTGGGAATTTTAAGTGAAAATATGAGGCTAATGATATAAAATAAATACTTTAAATTAAAAAAAAACCAGCTAAAATTCAATAATGGTAAGTATTCAATGAAATTTATTTACAAGCTTCATTAAGGTTTACATGTAAAATATTTTTGATTAATTATTAACATCAACATGTAGTAATATTAGGATGGAATTTGATTTATTTTTATTTTCTTGAAAACTTCATATGGTTTAATCCTCAATTACAGCTATTCATATAATATAGTCCTAATCAATCATTAAATTTGGTTTGACACAAATTGTGAATAAAATCTGTTGATTCTTTTCCATAAAATACAATATCTTAAATTATATTTGAAAACCAAGCACTCTTGGGAGTGAAGGGGTTAATTACAGTTAAACAAAACTGATTTTTTAATTAAAATCCTGTTGTAACTGTAACAATATATTAGAATGAAGTTATCCTAAACTGCAAACTTAGCTGCTGTTTGTATTTTTTTCCTTGGGCTCACAGTGAGTTGGCCTTGAATGAGGTTGTCTACAAGAAGCTTGACCATTTTGTATCTGGATTCCATAACATCTGAATTTGAAAAAAAAAAAATCTATATATATATTTAAAGCTCAGACCAGGTCCTTAAGATATCTATAAGGAAAAGGGCATTCATTGGATTCTCAAATTGAGAAATCTCTGTTATATTGAATGACTTTTATATTGGAGTTAGTACATCTCTCCCATAGATTTTATTAAAAGAGGGCTAAATAAAATATTTTGTTTTTACCAAGGAGGGTTTCTTTATGTAATAAGGTTTGTTCAATAACAGTTCCTATTATGAATCTTGGGTGTTCCCAAACGTGACTAAAAGAATCTTGAAACCTTACTGATAGGTTGATTTCATTGTAAAGCATAAGCTTAAGAAACTGCGGCATGCAAGTGACCGATTCGATTCTCAGAATTATTCTAGTTTCAGTTGCGCCGAGCGTTATGTAAGCTTAATTCAACCCGTTACATCTATTCTTTTATAAGATTTTGATCACGTAACGAATATCGTAATTTTTACTCACCACGAACTTTCAAAATCGTAGCTTTACAGATGGCCACTTGACCATTATTTGTACCAGTCAGTATGTCAACTGTTGTCCCTTCTTTTAACTCCAAGGCGCCAACGATTTTCTTTTCTTTTACAACACTCACGCTGTTCGCGTTTTCCCATTGAACCACAATAAAACCTATCTTTAGAAATGTTATATTAAGCGAAACAGTTGAGAAAAGTGATCAACCGATGAAAAGTACATTCAAAGATGAGCGCCAAATGGAGCCTTCTTTGTTTCCGACACGGGCATGATCACGTGGACCTTTTAGGACTTGTCATTGGCTAGCAAAGTGAATCCGCTGGCTTGCCGATTGCAGTGTTAATTGAAGTGCACAACTTTTTTCTGACTTCTCCGAACGGTTCTACGCTTCTAGACGATAGATACCTTGGTGATATAATAATGATGTGAGCTCACTCTATGAAGAAATAATCGACAAGAATCGATTGTACTACAAATGCACGATTTGTGGCAGAAAGTTGTCGAGGAAACAAAGACTCGAAACTCACTTGAGTTGTGTTCATGGCAAAGGTGAGAAATAACACAAGCCAATCACAATTTTGAATGCGATTACAAATCGTCTTTTACCCTCATATTTATAAAAGAAGGATACCACATTAGGAAGTATAAGAGATACATAGATGATCCCAGTGCGTCTTACAAAGGAGAAACATTTGTACAAGAGACAGATGTAACTATATGCGATTACAGAGGTGCGTTGGAACTCTGGTCCACAAATAGTTGTGCACTGTCCAAAGTATAAAACAATTTTGTTGATAGCTGACAGACAGAGAAGAACAACAAGTAAACTTTAGAGCTGTTATCATTGAAGTGTGACTTGCACTTTTCATTTGTATATAAAGAAGGACTTGTATTTTGCACCAAAAATAAAAAGATGTAATATTTTTTGGGAGATCCAGTGATGGTGACATATAAGACATTAAGTTATGAAAGGAAACTTGGTTTGTACTTCTCGCTACTAACAAGTCTTGTTTTAAAAATGTTTTCAGATCAGAGTTTCAAATAAAGTAAACTGAATACGTCATTTAAAAGGTGTTTTTTCTCAAAGGGAACATTGACTACCTCTGTCTTGTCTGCATGCCAAATGTTTGCAAAGTGTGTGGATGATCCACAAGTATTGGAACTCTTACAAAAATGTTTTGTAAGAATAAAAGCAGCAAAACAGATTACAGCAATCAGTCACAAAAACAGAGCAAAAAAACTGAAAAAAAAACAGCAACAACAATCATGAAGAAAGAAAAAAATAATGTCAACAAAAAATAAAAATGTCAACAAAAAGTCTCTGACAGTGTTTGAGGCAACTGAGCTTGACTGTTCCAAGGTTTTTTAACAAAGGCAACCAGTAATGTAGGTTAGGGAAGTAACTTAAGTTCATAACTAACAAAGTTCTTTAAGTATAGATAACAATGTAATTATTGTTAATTATTGTGGAAGTTGTGTACCAAGAAACAGCTAATGAATGTTTGATGATTTTGGCACACCAGTGAACATGAGACATTTTGCATCACAATAAAGATATTTTATGATCATGGAATCCAAGAATCCTTTGAGGTTAGAGAGCAAATCTGTGATATGAGTACATTGGGTTAATTGACAATTCCATGTAACATAATTGACTACTGGTTCATGAGAAAATCCATATTAATGTAGAGATTTACTAAAACTTAGTTTGAATAATAAATTTCATGATCTTTAAGTTATAAACATATACATGTATGTATATCTCTTGGTAAATTTTGTATAGCATACCTTTTATTGAGCCAAAGTTTTAAGCATCTGAAATTACTCTTTTTGTTAAAACCTTCACATTCAAGGTATTGAAAATTTCTTAGATTTATGTGGACCTCAGGGTATTTAAATTGCCTCAAATTCAATTCCCAGAAATTCCCAAGAATTCCACCCTTCTTAAATTATAGGTAGTTTGTATAGCTGAGAATTCCTAGGAATTCCAAGTCTTCACAAAACTGGAGTCTTCCTTTCCCAGAAATTCCCAATAATTCCAAGCTTTTTAAATCAGAGCTTGTTTGCATAGTTGGGAATTCTTGAGAATTCCTAGGAATTCCTAGGAATTCCCAGAAAACTGGGAATTCAGTTTGCAAGGGTTATTTACATAATTGGGAATTTTTGAGAATTCCTTGGAATTCCCAGAAAACCAGGAATTCAGTTCGCAAGGGTGTACAAATGATAAATAAATTTATTTAATTGATTGTCTCACAACTTTAGGTCACTAGCAATAATGAAGGGAAAGCTATCATAGAAGGCATGCAATATTTCAACTACTTTGATTCACATCTTTGTCAAGAAATGAGTTGGATGGTTGCCCATTGCAATCTACAGTCCAATTTGTATTAAGTGGTCACACATGGGGAATGGTGGGGTGACTGTTCAATAAAGGTGACCAGCAAATGACTCACATGATGTTCGCACATAATATTTTCCTAACAATCCAAAGAAGAAAGATAATTTTTAATACCCTTTGGACATTTTAACTTAAGGTGCTAACATTGATTTTGGAAGATAAACACAGAATGAATGAAATGACTTGAAAGATTACTCTGAGTTTCATTTGTGTGGCTCTGCTTTAAGTGACTGTTCAAACAGGCTGTTGGGCCTGTCTGTATTTCAGGCTTGAGGTGAAAATTACAGCAATTCATCATAATGCTGGATTTTACATCTTTCTTTTCTTTTTTCAGCCTTGATGGCTGCAGCATAGTTTTGGACATAAAATTCCCCTTTCTCAAAATTCAAGCTTTTTCTTATCCTTGAGGTAATACTGTGTACATTAATCCTGGACTACACATAGGTAATTGCCCTACTATCTGCTATACATAATATATATAAAATATAAACTAGTTCTTACCGCAATTGTGATAACTCACAAAATATCCTCAGGTACTAGATCAGCCTTTTTCAATATTTGATCCAGGGAGCCACTATCCTGAATACGAAATCAATAAGATAATTATTTCACCTCATTAACACTTTCACTTCCAAGAGAAAAATATTGGCAACAAACTCAGTGGGTCTGCCACCAGGCAAAAGTTGCGCTACGTTCTTCTGAAGTCTCCACGTGATCTTGTTTATACAGCACCAGGATTGTTTAAAGAATCAAGAGACTTTGACATCAGCCTCCTTTCTCTACTATTAAAAACTCTTTGTCCGACGCAACTACCTCCTCTGTGCAGCGGATGGGATTGTCCCCCAAGTACAGGTGATTTTAGCTCGACTGCAGACATCGTCAGAATTAAGTTTTACTGCAATGATAATATTCATAGGTTTCACAGCGGAGAGTCAAGTGATGCAGAATTTTGTTCACCCTGGGATGAAATCAAAATAGTCCTTTTACGTATAGCTTCCCATATCAGCGAAGAAACAAAACTTGAATGGGAAGAAGCAATCAACAGGCTGCGGCATGATCCCTTAACCCCAGAGGCTGCAAGAAATGCCGAGGAACTACAGGAAATGTATCAGAAAGACATGATCACAAATGAAAGTCTTGCATCAGGGTTCGCTCGAGTGGAGGGGCAAATTCAAGACCTGGGGAATCAAAATGAACAGCTTCGCGAATTGGTGACAAACAGGCTGGCTCTTCATCGGCAGAAGGAGGAGGTCGGTTTAAGGAAGAGACAGGCTTACTTTAAGAAATTCAGTGAATATTGAATTATATAGCCTACTTCGCCATTATAAGAGTAAGTTTCTGAAGAAAAAACTGTGCTGCTGTGTCGGTGGAAGAGTAAAGCAGGGTAATTTAGTTTTATCAACTGAGTTGATAACGTAAATTGGCCACCGTAAAGAGTTTCAAAGCTGACGTTTGGAGCGTTAGCCCTTTCGTCAGAGAGAATGACGAAGTTGAAGCGATTACCATGATATTCTGACCAAAGTAATTCTTCTTATCACAGCTCCTCTTCGTATTATCATCGATGTCAGATCCACGACAAGCCGCAGTTCTCGAGAGGAAGCTCCAACGACGACGAAATCCTTTCATCCGCAGCCAACTGCTACAGCCGACGAACCTCCGGCGACTTTGACAATCACAGCTAATCAGCCCATACAAAGAATAGTCTAGGAAATACGTCGACATTACGATCTATCAACAGCTGAGGAAAACAGATTTGTTCAACGTCTCGAGGATGTCGTACTGTTTGATCTCGGGATGGTTCTCAAAAAAGCATGCGAGGGGTTCTGGATGACCCTACCACGATCAGCGAGCTTGAAAGGTTAGTTTACACGGTAACCCTGTACGATGCTTCAGGGCTTGTCAAGAGACATACTCTTTCTCATTTCTATTGGTACCACGACAGGCCGCGTCCTTATCTAGCTTGGGAAACATTTTTCAGTGTCTGAAACAAGTCTGCTAAAAACAAAGGAAATTGAATTTACTTGCTTCCGACTTTAGGACCTTACAGCTAAAAACCTAACCCTAAAACCTTTTTGCGTTGTTCACGTCCAGTGTGAGCGAACATAAAACAGTAAAGATCTTACCTTCTGTAAACAAAATTATTATGTCTTTGGTCTCGTGAAATGTTGCAAATTTCCTCAACACTGCCTCTAGGTTTCATTCTTGCAAATTCCAGCTGTAAGAGGCATCATGGTCAAATGTGGTTAACGCCTCGATTCCGAATCGAGAGGCCCGAGGTTATGATAATGACAATGACAATCATATCGATAACGAAGGTATCGTCATCGATGACGACAATGACGATGACGATGAATATAATGACAATGAGGATGACTGTGACGGTGAGGAACCGATAGACCGACATGCTATACAGTAAGTGTTAGTTACTCTTGGCTAATTATCGCAAACGAAACCGGGATAAGCCCTAGCAAGATGAAGTAGTTGCCTCGTGTTCAGTCCGAAATCTAGAGGTATTCACAAAATCTTTTAATTAAACTCTTATATCTAATGATCTGTGCGAACAGAACCATAAAAGAGGTAGAGGAACGCATACTCAGCGAAGAAAAAGAAAAACTCACGAAATCAGATGATGCTGGTGGTTAAGGAGGAAAGTCACCTTAAAATAACTTTAGGTGGCGAACATGCTGTAATGAAAAGAATCACACAGAAAACTTGTAACTCTGGGTTCTGTTTTTGATGTTATTACTGAAGTGGTTGGACATATGGATCAGTTCATTTTACACTGTTGGTTAATTGTATGAAACAAGTCCGACGGGTTTCATAGGTATGGATTATGATTTGCCGATAGGTTTAGCTGAGAAAGGAACGAAGTCAATGCGAACACGAAGTTCGGAGGAAATCATACAGCGCCCATGTCCTCTTTCAAAGCCCTTGCTTCGCGTTTGAAGACGAAATTTCCGTCTTGCTGTACCTTTGTGGGAACGAGGATGATGGAGTCCTTTCGGACGTTCGTGTCAATAGTAGAAACTATCGAATCGAGCCTCATGATTATATGATGTCAACCAACAATTACTTATTTATCAGAAACCTTGTCTTTTTGAGGCGTTTTACTGACCTTGTTGGATTATTTCAGTTTTTTAATCTATTTAAAATTTAACAAGGAATTTAAAAGCTGTCAGCAACATCACAAATGTTGTTTTAATGTTCTTAACTCAAACTACTGGGGTATAATAAAAGTTAGCAATAGTTAACCGTTACCATTCTCATTATTATAAAGTCAGTAAAACACTTACACGTTACACGGGCAAGATATCTAAATTCCTTGAATGTCTTGGATAGGCTACCCTCCATCAATTGCGATTACTGTTTCTTTTTTAGTGAAATACCACCTATTCTAAATTGAATTGAATCAGTAAAGAACAAGCCGAAAAGTTTCTAAATATCTATACATATATACAATCGTTAGCACTTAACTGAAAGGAATACGCCTAGAAAGAATCTTCCCGGCTAGGATCTCTGGAAAGAGCCAGACTCACTTGTCCAGAACAACGGCACTTTCTTTAAACCACACCTATTTACACCACTACGAAGAAACTAAAACGGTCCAGCGAAGTGAAACTTGACCTAGGACGTTCACTATAATAATGATAGCAACCATCATTTAAATTTTCAGCTCTTGTTTTCAAGTCTGATTCAGTTAATGACTGAATGTTTTATGTGACTGATGCATGATCATAACAGACTCAAATTCGACAAAAATGGAGATGTCAATGACGGAGAAAGAATGTTCCATAACTACGTACATTTTACACTAAGACGATTGCTTAAGAGGAGACGTCACGCAGAAGTGACTGTATCATCATTCTTGCGGAACTTCTAAGTAGTACTGCCTTGTTACACTTGAAGACACTCAGAACTGGACAAAATTACACGGTTCACATCAAGAGATTCTTTGTCAGAGTTTGTTACCGGATTTCAGGAGTTCCCTTGCATGGCTCCCAATAGACGCCCCTTTACTTCTTCCAATTCGTTCCTGGTCCTGTGCGAGGAAAGGCACATCAACCAAAAACTCGGAAAATTTAATGCTTAACCCTTTAACTCCCAGAAGTGATTAACATGTAACTTCTCCCAATAATATCCACACATTGTCCAGCAAACAGGTTATGAGAATACTCAAACTTATCAGGTAGAAGTTATTTTGCTCTAACACCAAATTCTTGTAACTAATCCACAAGGAAATATGAAGCCGCCAGAGAGTAGAATTAATAATGAGATCTTAGTAGTTGAAGAATTAAGGAGGTGGATGAAGGTGTTAATGTTTAATTCATCAACACCTGCATGCCTAAAGGATCCCTAATGAAACGCAAAATTTATAGTGATAGACAGTTATTTACCTTGTAAGATCGTTGTTTTCGTCATCCAATATTTTCTTTTGCATGGCCTCGCATCTTTCAAGATATTCCTCGGCTGGTTTGAATTCTTCCTTCATTTTATGAACCATCGCAAGGTCAAAAAGCGACTTAGCGGTGTCTCGATGGTCCTTCAGTAACTCGAGCCGAATCTCCAACGCGTCTTTCGAATATAGTTCGGCAGTGTTGTACTCTCCCTGGGCAAAATAATTGTTTGACAGACTGTTGAGGACGGTTGCAGTGAAAGGATGTTTACCCAGTGTTCTTCTGTAAATGGGTAGCGTCTTTCCTTCTCTGACCTTGATTGCCTGCTCATCCTTCCCTTCCTCGAGCGAAAGGATCACTACCGAGGGAATTAGAGTTTCATCATTGAATTTGTAAATAATTCCAAAGATACAATGATTCCAATTTTATAGTCATTTTCGGCTGACCATGAAGATAATTAAGAAAGGTAGTAAAAGTGATTTTTGTTGTCTTAAAGAAAGGATTTTTGAAGTAGCCGTGACCCCTTTAAAGTATTATGCATTAGAATTCATGTGAAGGATTTCGTTCCTTATAATGTTTATAATCAAACACTAGATAGTATCTAGTGGTTGATTACAAACATTATAAGGACACTTTTCAATACATTTCAGAGTTTTTCACCTTCTCGGTGTTCTAAGGATCCTGTCAAGGGCCAGACTAAATGAATGACGGCTATTAAGCTGAATCTTGACTAATGAGAGGCTAAAATCATAATGGAGGATTAGGATGCTTCTCTTGCTTTTTTCACTCAGAACACAGGCCACAATCTGTAACGCATTGTCAATTGTGACTCTTTATTCATCGATTTTGAAGATTCATACGTAAGCAAATGCTCAAAATAACCTTAAAATACGATCCCACAAACTGCCTTGCAAAATGTATGATCAATGCGCTCGCAAATTAATTTGGTACCTAATCATTTTGTGCACCTACCTCCCAGATCATTATACGTTGCACCGAGCATAACGTCGTCATCCTGTCCTTCCGATCGAATTCTGATTGCCTGTTGGACTTTTTCTTTTGCCTCCTCAAAAAAGCCTTCTGTGGCGATACATCGACCAAGTTTGGCAAGGCACTGAGCTCGGCTGTTCCCTTTTTTAACTCCAAGATTACGTTGGATTCGGTCAGCCTTCGTGAAGTATTCTTTGGCTATTTCAGCGTGTAAAGCACACGGACCAATTGGAGGACAGGAACAGCTGAATACTTCTTTCAGCCCCAAGGACGTGAGGCAATCGCTCAGTCTCGTCTGATCTTTCATCTCTTCGCATCTCTTTCTTAGAGATTTGAAGGCATATTCAAATTTGGCCTTTCCCATCATCTTCGCCAATAGCTCCGTTACGCTGTTGAAAACATCAATGCATCTTCTTGTTTGTTCTTCATCCATTTGGCCATTTTTGCACCATTCAACGAGCTGCATGACATTCGCTTCATCTTTCTGAAAGGCTGCAATAGCTTCTGACACGTTCTGGCTCAGGAACATTTTAAAGATGTCTTCCAGAAAGGTTAAAAAATGGCGGATAAACATTCTCCGAGCATCTAGGATCACTTGACGAAACTCCTGCTCCATTGCCTTAGTTTCACAATAATCACGAATTACTCGAAGGAGGGTATAGGAGCATTCATCCCCATCAATGCGTTCTTCTAAAAGTGATCGCTGGGACAGTTCCAGTCCACTTTCTCTGAGTTGAGACGCACTCATCTCCGTTTGCTGAAATATTTTCACTGCTTCAGACAGAGAAAAACGCCTTCTAAGTAATGCAAATCTGATAAGGGCACACTTTTCTTTCAAATCAAGCCTCTCGAAGCAGTAATCGATACAAGCGTTGATCTTTTTATCCGCTGATACCGTTTGAATCTTTCTCAAGAAATCGAAATTTTGAGGCGAAGGACATCTCATCTCTTCCAAGAGACTTGGCAGGTTACTGTGGCAGGAGGCCAGGGTGTAAAGGACCAAGGGAATACCGCTGCAAATCTCTGGCAATTCATGTGCTTGAGTTATATTGACTTGCCTATTCTTCCACACTTTTCTCAAAAGGTTAATGGATTCTTCTGGCGTAAAAGACGACAGATGAAGTATTTCTTGACCTGCTTCCGGAAAAAAAACTTTCTCTGAAGAGGTGAGGAGGAGCTTGACTTTGCCTGCAACCATTAAAATGTCGTTGATAAGATTCTTAATCTTCGATCCTTCCTCAGATGGGTTGTTCTGTTGGAGCGACAATTCATTTTCAGGGAGCTGCATTCTGTCATCCAAATGAAGTATAAATTCAAAATTATCCAATAGCAAAATGGTGAAGAAATCTTGGCTTTTCA